TTGTCGTGCCAGCCGGTAGCCTCACAGTGCTGCAACTGGTACCTTTGAACGCGCGGCCCCAATTTATTGCCGCGTCGAAATGCACGGCTCTCTTGAGTGGTCCTCATGCCTGCCGGTGGCACGTGCGCCTCCCCGACTATTCTACGGCCTCGTGGGTAGGCACAGACATAGACGGGGGCGTCGACGGTGCCGCTCCCCGGACTGGTGAGAGTACGCGCGCACGTTTCGCGTTGACAGGTACATACTCGCTTTCGCCTTCGTCGCAGCATCATCGGCGTCAATAAGGCGAACGCTTCGCCGTCTGGTCTCGCGTGCGCGCACTCCGGCTCACAGTGAAAATCGATATTGATAAGTGAGGCTCACACCGACGCACGTGCGAATTCGCAGCCCGCGCGCGTTACTGGACCCAGGGTCAGATTTTCCCACTCTCTCCATTTCATCTCTTTTTTCTCCCCCCTCCCCCCCCTTCGTCGTCCTCTCCTCCTCCCCGCACGTTCACCTTCTCACCACCCGCTCATCATCATCACCACCACCACCACCACTTGCCGCTGTCTACGACTTTTTGTACTTTACAGGAGCAACGAAAGCGGTGGTTGCAACAACAACGTTAACTAGCCTGAATGGAGAGCAGTAGTAGCTGGCGGGTTGAAACGTGCAGAGTACAGGGTAATGAAATATGTGCTACCGTAAGTGGCGTCACCGCACGCGCTGCTGATAAGGCACTGGTCTGTGCTTTTGGGCTGAAGCTAAGTCCAGCTTGTTTCCGTAGACCAACTTACATCGGCAATGATTCTGCCAAATGGAAGGGTGTTTGAGGGGAATGTGTTTCAGTCAAATTCGCAAATCCGTGAAACACTGGCCAAACTTCTCGACTCATTTTCACATGAAAAATACCGCTTACGTGAAGCTGGGAAGATCAGTCGCAGGAAAGCATTATGTTCAATCGATTTTTGCGTCGTAGCATGCTGACTTCTATACAAACATTCCCCTTAATCTTATCAGTGAGCGTCTCTCCCACTTTAATTAATAAGCCCCATCACAGTCGGCAGGAAAATGAGCCCGTGGCTCAATGACTAAAGCGTTTGACTAACAATCGAAAGAGCGTGGTTAGAGCCTCAGATGCCCCCACACTTGTTGGTGGTCATCGTCTGTACGTATACAAAAAGAGGTGAAATCCTCTCGGACGAAATAATCTTTACTGCATAAATCTTCGAGACTGTTTACCCACTTTGTCGTCAGATTTATGGATCATGTGCAAAATATTTGACCATTTAACCATGCCTAACAAACGATTCTGTGGTTGGCCAAAGGCTGCGCCAATATAAGTCAATTGTAGCTGCTCATCCCATTGTGATTGACTGTGCTCGTTTCCACTTATCTTGGGAATTTTTAGGTGTCATCTACATCTGTATGCCGATTGGTGCACGCTTCACCTGAGTGCATTACTCTCAAGAATTCACGGCCTTTCCTCATTGGGCATACAGCAACAATGCGGGTGTTCTCCCACACATATATATACAAACATCAATGGGTGCACACCGACTCATTAGCTTCCCGAAATAAACATGCCTCGAATGGGTGGCGCAGGTCACGAAGATGACTGCCAAACTACGATACCGGAGGCCGAAGACGACAGAGAACACAGGTATATTGATATAGAACTGTTTCGGACTTATTCTGCCTTCATTTAGCCTTCTGGGAGTCATCCGCGCAGTACGTGGGCGCATATTTGTGTCTTTGGTCCCAGCTGGTGGCCGAGATCATTATTAGCTGAATTAAGGCAGAATCAACCCGAAGCAGTGCTGTATCTGTCTAGTGACGTTCTCTGTCCTCTTCCCCTCTAGGCGCTCTCTAACATAGTTCTTGTATTTTTGAAGGCAAATACGTCCTTTTGGAAAAGGAGAAAACTGCATTGAGTAAAGTTTCGACGTCGGTTTACATGCCGTCATCAGACTCGAGTTCATATATACATATACATCTGTAACACCACACACCTTCTGGTTTTCACAGCATCTTGCATAATTCGCGGACATCAAGTTGGCCTGGCTTTATATCTCCTGCCAGTGAGCCTTGAAAGCTCACTTACGTACTACATACAATTTGAATGCGTCTGGAAAGGTTTGCACCAATTTTCCATGTTTTGAGGGTTTAAATTAAGCTGGTGTTTGCCCGGTCATTGAGTTGGACGTGGAATACTCGACCACTTAAAGATCTCCTTATTATACAAGTTTGCTGTTTTAAAGGTCGATTATCGCTGCTTCAATCATTTCTTACAGCTTTATGTCTTTGTAGTATGTTTAACCCATCTTTTATATTCCATGGTTTGATCTCACCTAACCACAAAAAGGATGCAAAAAAGAAACTCCCACCATTATCGTTTGTTATTTTGAACATGGCTGAAGGTATGTTGAAGACAGAAAAAGGGACGAGCAGGTATCCGACTACGGACCATCTAAAGGATGCATTGTGTAACTGGCTTTTGAGAAACTTTTCAGCAGCAATGATTCCATAGTTTTAAGAGGCCCAAC